CTGCCAGAACCACTTTTGGGTCAAATAATATATATGTTACCATGATGTTCTTAGGATCTCTTAGGATTTCTCTTACCCAAATCTGTTCTTTCTCCCCTGCTTTACACTTACAGCATTTCTCAGTTCAGAGTAGTCATATTTTAAGGGCCCAAAATCTACATGTGGGTATTTGTTACTATACTGGAGTATATATGTTCTCATTGATCATATCCATTGACAGTATAAATAAAAAGAGAAAGAAAACTAACATTTTTCCATTTCTGAATATTAGAGCAAAAGAACATATAATAATAAATTTTGAGTTGAAAAGAAAATGAAAGATTTGGAAATACTTAGTCTTGAATTACAATTAGAAAAATCATTTAAAAATTGTAGAATACAGAAAGTACTTAGAGGAAAATCTATAATTTCAAATACAATTAAGAAAAATTGTTAACTAATGAACTAATGAGACCATTCAAGGAGTGAAAAAAGGAACAGACTAAGCCAAAGAACAAGAAAGACAGAAATATAGTAATTCCTCGATTTATGAACATTCAAGTTGCCAACTTTCAAAGATACTTAAAAGACTCATTTTATCAGATTTATGAATGAATCTGACTTATGCATCTTTTCCTTCAATGGAACCTATACATAAAAATCAATGAATGAGATTATCAAAGCAAAAGCTGGTTTAATTTATAAATTAAAATGTGAGATAAGATTTAAAAACATGGTGTATATTTGATTAAAAAATGTATTACAGTAAAAAATCCATTGCTTTTAAACCCTCTTAAAATACTCCAAACACATGGAATAACAACCAACTGAATTAAACATATATCATAGTAAAAGTGGAATTTAACATCAGAAAATCCAGCTATGAAATTTGTTACCTTAATGGATCCTAATTTTATTTTTTAAAGTTTTGTACAATGGTGGGAATCAAGTTCAGGTGCAAGACTTGCTAGGCAAGTCTTCTACTACTGAGCTACATTCCCCAGCCCATCATTAATGGATTCTAAAAGAGAGATGTCAAATGCAAACTCAGTAGTAACAAAATCATTTGTTATGGCTTATATCTTGATGTCCCTCCAAAGCTCCATGTGCTCATAGGTGGGGCTTTTGGGAGGGAGCTGGATAATGGGTGTGTGACATTGGATTAAGGGTGTGATAATTGGATCAATCCACTGATTTGTTTAGCATAGTTCTTGGAGTGGATAATGGGAAGTCACTCAATGGGTATGAGGGAACCAGTCAAAATAAGTTTGTAGCCTGGATGAAATATATGAGGAAAGAAGGAAGGCAGGCTTGCTGCTTTCTGCCTGCCTTGCCATGGACTGGTTCTCCTCTCCTATGCTACTCTGTATTGGAGCCAGCAGACTACGGACTGAAACCTCTGCAACCTGTGAGCTAAAATAAATCTTTTCTCCTTTGATCTGTGGGTGTCAGGTATTTTTGTCCCAGTAACATGAAAGTAGGTAAGACATCATCTATTAGGAGTTAAAGATCTGAGTTCAATCCCTGGTTCTGCCAAAAAAATAAAAATAAAGTGTGTCAGAGCTGGGAAGCTAGCTCAGTGGTCTAAGCACCTGCCTGGCAAGTGCAAAGACCTGGGTTCAATCCCAGGTATCACATGCTGTGCCAGCCCCCAGAAGCCATACTGGCCACAAAAATGGGTGTGGTGGTGCACACCTGTAATCTCAGTGCTGGGGAGGCTGAGACAAGAGGATCACTATGAGTCTGAGCTA